TGTACTAGAGCCACAGCCTGACTCTGAATGTCAAATGGAGCAGCGATTTTTAAAGAGCCCAACACAGTAAGTAAACCTGGAAGAATTCTAAGTCCAGAAATAAAGAGAACCCCAGAATTCCATACCTCTTGACACGTCCTGCCCCAGGGAATGAGTGAACCTGAGCGACGCTGATGCATCCCTGCCTCCTTCCATATTTTCCGAAACGGGGCTTCCTTGTTTAATATGAAGGGAATTTTTATAACACCAGACTCACCCAAATCTAAAACACTATGAGCACTTGACATGCTAATAGTAGATTAAGCTCTCAGCTGCAAGTTAATGACAATGTAAAATATTAGAAGGTGAAAGGAAAAGCCAATTACTGAGCATCTGTGTGTCAGGACCTTTATGTACAGGATCACATTTATTCCTCCCACTACCCTAAAAGCCTGGCACTATTATTAGCATTTTAGGGATGAAGAAATTGAGCCTGAGCGTTGAAGGAACTTGCCCAAGATCACAGCCAGTAATCGAAGGGTGAAGTCAGGGCTGTTTTGACTCCAAAGCCCATGTTCTTCCATTAAAATACACTGCCCCCCTCCCAGGGACTTGGTTTTAGAAAATGCGCTCTGTAATGAATAAATTGAATTTGGGAAATATGGAACTCTAAGAATTCAAAACATTTCAACAAAGAAATGATGCTGTAAAAGCCTGTCTCAAGGGCAACTGGAAGCTTCTCTACTCTGACTGCCCCCTACTTACTGGGTGTTGCAAATGAACTGCACCCTTTCCCAGAAAGAAAGAAACCACCAGCTTAACAAGGAGCTGGCCTCTCCTTCCATTTATTGACAACACTCCTCACATAACCAGTATTTGTCAGGCACCTTTTTAACCTCTAGGCACACGCCGCCTCCTCCTCCCTCATTCCTACCGCTGACGACACTTCCCACTGACTGAGCGAGCCCTCCCCTGCTCGCCTTTTCCACACCCTGAGGTCCGGCTCCCTCACCTCTGGCCTGTACGTCTGCAGAATCCTAACCTCAGAGGGTTTCCAGGCTCCGGCCACTGTCTACGTGGCTGCAGGAGTTACAGTCAAAATCATAGTGTGAGTTACAAAACCAACCTGGTCCCAAACCTTGGGACCGTGGCCTTCAAGGCTCCACTGAATCTGCTCTCCCCACCTTTCCAGGCCCAGTGTTCACCGCTGTCTTGCACACAGTGCCAGGCTGGACGCCCGTGCCACGTGCCCTTTGCCAGCTCTGCTACGGCTCCTGCTGTTTCCTCCAATTAGAAGACTCTCACTCGCTGCTGAGCCAAATTATTCATTAATCTAACATTTACCAAACACCCACTACATGCAAAGTGCTGAAAGATAACACAAGTGTTTTCAAAACTGTAAGGTGCTGTACAAATATAAGGAATTATCTTGGCCCCATATGGAGCCTGGATTTTATAAGACAATTAATACGATTCTACTGAAGGTTTTTCAAGAGTGGGATGAAGTATAAACAAGGCCAAGATAAGTAAGACAAGAACATGTTTATAGAAAGAGGCAAAGGAGTCAGTGAAAGAAGGAAGTCAAAGAGGCAAGTGAGAGTGAATGACTAAATGTTTGTCCCATAACAGGCAAACCAAAGGACAGAAACAAGGTGACATTGGAAAAGTGGGTTTATCTCTTCCTCAGAGGCAAGGGGAAGAAAAAGACTGATGGGTACTCAGAGATATTTTACCTAGAAAGGAATCAAGACTGAAAGAACGCTCCCAGTGGCCTTTGTCTTCTCCCTGACCTAGAAGGGAGAGTCCTTTGTCAATGGTAGAGCCAAAACAAAACAAAAAAGAGATATATTTTTAAGGAAGGATGCTGTGCAGTAAAAAATTTAACCTTGCCCAAAAGGAGGTCAGGCCTTTGTCCTCAGCTAACAATGTGATTTTCACTGGGGGATGGCACACAAGAAAGACTAACAATGCAACTTAGCGGGGGGCTCTGGGTCACACAGTATTAGGTGACCCGGAAACTGAGATCAACCACATCAGCAATCAATCAATCACAGATGGAACCCCAATAGAGACTCTGAATTAAATGCCCTGTGCATACTGTCTCATATCAACTCCAGGAAAGTACCGCGTTCTGGCCCCGTCGGGAGAGGACAACAAAAGCCCCACCCCCGATACTTTCCTGGACTCTGTCCTATAAGCCTCTTACCTTGGCTGATTTTAGATTTTAGTCTGTATTCTTTCCCTGTAGTAACAGCTTTCAGTGGGTTCTGTGAGCCCTTCTAGCTAATAATCAAACATGCACTCAGAGAGTTGCTTCAAGAAAATTATACCGTAGAGCCCCTGTTTGGCATATATTGGAACAGGAAATTTCTGGAATCATTAGGAAAACTACTTCTCAATTTATTCCAAACATTAACATTGTATGCGAACTTATTTCTAGTCCCATTTCCTCAACTTAATAAAGATTATATTATTTATATCACCGAAGAGTGCAAGCCTGCAGTTAACAGTTTAGTAAGAATGTAAAAGTATGTCTATACTTTTGACTTTGTCAAGTCTGTTTTTATATAAAGTTACAGCCATTCTATTCATGCTAATACAATCACATGCCATAGAACGACATTTCAGTTAACATCAAACTGCATGCAGGACGGTCGTCTCATAAGATTATAATGGAGCTGCAGAAGTCCTATTGCCCAGTGATGTAATAATGCAACATATTTCTCACGTTTACGGTGGTGCTGGTGTAAACAAACCTACTGGGCTGCCAGTCATATAAAAGTATTGCACATACGAATATGTGCAGTATGTAATACTTGATAAATGATAATAAATAAATTTGCTATACTATACTTTTTATCATTAGAGCGCACCTTCTACTTATAAAACAGTATGCCACGTCACACTGACAGCAGCCTCACACATCTTGTTTACTCTCCCTTGATTGCATCATTTTCTCTTGTGGTCGCTTCAATCAGGTTTGCAGCCTAGGAGCAACAATCTGTGCCACATAGTCTAGGTGTGTAGTGTGACATTGTCTAGGTTTTTGTAAACATACTCTATGACGTTCACACACAGCGTAGTCGCCTAATGATGCGTATCTCTGAATGTATCCCCATTATTAAGTGGTACATAACCACTAGAAGAGGATTTCTGCTTTTAGAGTGCACTGATTAGCATGGCTGTAAAATTCCAATCCACTCATGGTAATCTGAGGCAGGCTCTGAGTCACTGGTAACAGGATCCTTCTGTATACATTTTACCCACTTTGCCTTCATATCAGACATCTGCACAGAGTTCCAACTGCTGTTTTATGAGTTCTTTAGGAAATTACCTTTTCAGATGGTCTTGTTCTCCTCATCCCTCTACCCAACAGTCAATGTGAGCCCTGGCCAGTGTGGCTCAGCTGGCTGGAGCATTGGCCCACAGACCGAAAGTTTGCGGGTTCAATTCCAGGTCAGGGCACATACCCAGGTTGTGGGTTAGATCCTGGGTCGGGACAGGGGCGCATATGAGAAGGCAATCAATCAATGTTTCTCTCTCTCTCCCCCTTCCTCTCTCTCTAAAAAAGCAATAAAAAAATGTCCTCAGATGAGGATTTAAAAAAAAACTCAATGTGAACCTACCAGTCTAAATCCAAAAAATATACAATCCAAATAACTTCAATAAATCTAACCCTTGTATTTTTCAGAATATTCAAGAAATGCAATTTATCTCTTGTGTTCCACTCCATTTGTCAAATATCCCAATAGCTGGTCACTTTAACCACATTGTAACTTCCTAATAAACAAACTTAACAAGATAATTTTTAAAAGGTGACCTTAGCTCTGACCTATGTGGCTCAGCTGGCTGAGTGTTGTCCCACAAAGAGAGAGATCACCAGTTCGATTCCCAGTTAGGGCACATACCTAGGTGTCTGGTTCAGTCCCCGGTTCAGGCATGTATAAGAGACAACCAATTGATGTTTCTCCCCCCCCATGGATGTTCCTCTCCCTTCTCCCTCCCTTCCCCTCTCCCTACAACACAATACATACATACATACATACATAAATATTTTTAAAAGGTGACTTTAGAAAAGTTGTAAGACAATATCAAAAAATTAAATTCATCATCTGAGATGAAAAGTTTAGGACGAAAAATATACTGAACTAGATTTCTAGACCACCTGAAACAGTAAGAGCAAAACAGACAAATACATGTGTATTAAATACATACACTAAGCAGAATGCAAATGTAACACATAGCATCGGTTTGGAAAGCACTGTATACAACCTGAACAGCAAAAGAAGCTACAAGGCAGCTGTATCAACAGTTCTTATGCTCCAATTTAACTACCATAAAAAACTAGTTGTTCATAAACGAATAACGTGTGTCCATCCAAGGACAAAAAGAGACTTAGTTCCAGCAGCACTGACTCCTCAAGAGAGATGAGTCTTGGCTGCACTAAGAAAAGATGCAGACATTGCCCTAAGGCTGACCTGATTGTCACAGATCCCCGGTCAGGAACCACCCCCTCCCCCAAAGATCCCCGACGGTGGAAAAGAATATAATAAGAAAAATGCGCAAATAAAAGAGAAAAGTTAAAAACTTAAAAGGGAGAGAATAAGAGTACTCAAGAAGTCATGCACGACGTGGGAGAAAGCCCATTGTAACATACGCCTATAAACAACTCTTCAAAGCTTACAGAAAGGTTTATAGCCATTCTCTCCTCTAGCCCTAATAACAACCCGTTATTAGAGGAGAAAACCGTGGCTCAGAGAGCTGACTGTCACGCCCAAGGTCAGGCAAAAAGCTGGGGCTGCAGTTCGGGCCCTATCCCGAAAGATCAAGTAAGGAGTGACACGGAGACACCTGGAGAAGCCAAGTGCAAGCATAGAAGTGCCCTGAGGAATTCAGGAATGTTGCAGATCACGGCGGGGGATAGGACAAGGAGCAAGGGGCAGAGAGTGGCCAGGAGACCTGGGCGTGAGCAGCCGCCCCGGCTCGACCCTGCCCGGCCCAGCCTAGCCCGCCGCACTCACCCGAGGCCCGGGCGGGGTCGCCCGGCGCTGCGGCTCCTCCTGGCCTGCGGCGGCGACGGCGGCGGCGACTGCAGGGGCCGAGGCAGGGACGCATCATGCGGCCGCGCTCATGGCCGGGCCGGAGCGGGCCTCGTGCCTCGGCTCGGGTCGCTCCCACCCGGCCGATCGGAGAGGGGTGGCCGCCCAGCACACACCGAAGCTCAGAACCCTGCCTGGAGAGCCTGGCTGTGCGACCCCCGGAAGTGAACCCCGGGAGGTCAGCGGCGTCGTGCTTGCGTAGTTCCGGCTTCCCCGCTCCTGCTCCCCCCGGAGGGCAGCGTGAGGCGCTTTGCGGAACTTGGTGGCCTGGGTTCCTCTGGAAGAGAGGCTTTTAAGACTGCCAGTTCATTGAGGAAGGCAGCTTCTAGTCACAAGCTCCCCTCCCTAAAGTAAAAGGATCCCTCCAAACTGAGATCCGGAAGGGAAAGGATTGGGGTTACGGGCTGCCGCAAGGTCCAAGCCACGCGTTAGGCTGTCACAGTAGGTCCAGAGTTCTTGCTCAGGTGACTCGAGCCCGCGGCAACCTCTCAAGACTGTCAGCTTTAGGTGTGGCCTGTGCGGTGTGCGAAAATGAGAATTCAGAAAATGGGGAAATGGAGGCGAGAGTGAAAAGACGGAGACAGAAGCACGTGGGGAAAAGGGGAAGCGTACTGGACTGGGGATTGGAGGCCCGGTTCCTGGGGTCCGCTGAGGCTCCGGTCACCCTCTCTGAGGGACCTGGACACCAGAGCGTCCCAACGGTTCCTTGCAGATGATGAGTCCTAAATTTTTTGAAGGTAGACACATTTTTTATTTATTTGGGTTTCCTATAATACTTGGGACAATTGCTGCAGGGCTGGGAAGTAGATGATCAGTGTTGTAAACTGGTGAATACTCACTAAATTGTGAGATTGAGAAAAGCAGTAATTACAGCTAAGAAATCTATCAGAATCTCACTGTCTACAAGCCACTTTCTCACTACTTTCCGTTCTTGCCCCCCCGAAATATTTATTCTAGCTAGACAAACTTTAGGAAGTAAGGGGTGCATTAATCACAAAAATTCCAGGTTTAAAAGTTTAAAATTGTATTAGTAAGTCTCGAACCTCTGTATTCAGAGTGGTGCTATGCGTCCAGTCACCCCTCACTGAGCCTCCTGTTGCCTGGTATATTTGTGTCCACAGGGAGAAAAGTGAGGTTGGCCTCCAATCAGTGGTCAGTTCTTTTCACAAAGGCTGAAAGGATGGTTCTCTCTGATAACACCAAGACTATACTTGAGATATACTTGCTGCAAGCAATGTTAAAAGATTATTTTTTAATAAAAGTTTAAATCATGACTTTCATACAAGTATAAACACATGTAAAAGATTTAATTTTGAGAGATGACTCTAAAGGGCAGGCACGTATATAGGCAGTCGGGAATGCTGAAATGAATTTGCTTACTAGATGCAAACTGGCTGCTGTTTCTACAGTAGGGGCGGGAGGTCCATTGAACTTCTACCTTTCAGGATTCATTTGCATGTCTGATACCTGTGGGCAAGAATCACTTGCATTGCTATTCATTCTCTACACTCTATAGAGTTATAGATAGAAAGGAAAAAACCTCACAGGGCCAGATAACCCAAAATGGTGTTCCAGACAGTACCTAGTTGGTCAATGAAGACACCCAATAATCTTTTGACTCATTTCAAAGTCTTTCACAAAAAGGAAAGAGGAGGGATCCCTACCCCATAATTCTCCTGAGTTCCCACACTTGTTATGTTGCTTGTGTTTTTAATTACTAGTTTAACTTGTTTATTGTAACTTTAAAATTGCATCCTTGCTAAAGAAAATAATAGCACTATACAAATCATTCATTAAAATATTTAACAAGGATGGCAACAGTTGACAAAAACAATTCAACTCTTATCAAGGATTTTCATCTGTTTCTCAACAGAATTTGTATGTGGTCTTCTGCAAGTCATTTCCCTCTCCATGCCTCAGCTTTTTCTTTTTTACTGTCTAAAATATGAGATTAGACTTGATTTCTAAGGTTTCTTCCTGTTTTAAGATTGTGTTTCCACACAGAGTGTTTTGCCTCTCTCTGATGTCATTGAGGTCCTGGGAGCTGAAAACCTCCTAAAATTGGAGGTCTTTGCAGGGAAGGAAACACCCCATGCTCCAGGTTAGTTCTGTTTTCCCCTCAGGGGCTAGTTTCCAGCTAACTAGTCATCCCAGGAAACAGCCCTTTTTAAAGTGGAGGCTGTATTCAAATATGTGAAAAGAAGCTCAGCTCTAATTCAAAGTAAAAGGAATGAATGCAAATTTAAAGTATAAGGAGATCCCATTTTTAATTGAGTAGTTGGCAAAATAAAAGTTTGGTGATACTATGTGTTGGCAAGGCAGACCAAACTGGTGCAATTGTAAATTCACTCAGCTCTTTTGCAGAGCAAGATAGCAAAATGAATCACAAAAATTTAAGTGTACATACCCTTTGACCCAGCAATTCCCCTCTTTGGAATTTATCCTACAGATACACTCACCCATCCGCACAAAGATGTTTGCACTTGAGTATTTATAGTAGCATGTTTTTAGAAGCAAAAAACTGGCATCCCCTATATACTATCAATACATTAAAGAAAGTAGGTTGTATACATAAATGGAATGCTGTGCTGTGCAGATATAAAAAGGGAATGAGCCATGGCCAGTGTTGCTTGGTTGGAGCATCGTCACGTAAACTGAAAGGTTAAGGGTTTGATTCCCAGGCAGGGCACATGCTTAGGTTGCAGGTTTGATGCCTGGATAGGGGCACATACAAGAGGCAACCGATCAATTTTTCCTCCCACATCAATGTTTTTCTCTCTCCCTCCCTCCTTTCCCTCTCTCTAAAATCAATGAGCATGTCCTCAGGTGAGGATTAAGAAAAAAGAGACAATGAGGCATATTTTTATGAATTAATATGGATGGTCTTCCTGGTATATTAAGTCTATTGTGTAAGACTGAGTATTTTTGTAAAAAAAAAGAAGAGTGTGGGATATATGTTTTTATGCACATAGAATATTTCTGGAAAAAAATACAAAAAGCAGATGTGTAACTTATTTTTTAACTATTTCTTCATCTTTTAAGTACATAAAAATATAATTAAAAGTAAATGAGACAACCCAATAAAACAGTTGGCAAAACACTTTAACAAATACTTCACAAAAGAGACTTTCCAAAACAGTGTTCATTTTCATTAGTCATCAGGGAAATACAAACTCAAACCACAATGAGTTACTATTTATGTATCAAACATGAAAACCCCCAAGTGTTGGCAAGCACTGGAGTAACCAGAAGTCCCATATGCTGCCGGTGGGCATATCACTGTCAAACCCCTTGGATAGGAGTATCCATTGTTAGGGGTCTCCTTGTTAGGAGTGTCTGCTGAAGCTGAGCATACTGTACCTCTGTGTTCACGAAGACAGGCGTACCAGAATGTTCACACATGACTGCCACAATAGCCCTGAACTGGAAACAACCTAAAAGTCCATGAGCAACAAAACGGATAAATAAATCGTGGTATAGTCATACAGTAAAATATCATAGAGAATGAAAGTATATACTACACATAACAATACAGATCAATCTCACTAATATGATGTTGAATAAAAGAAGACACAAAAGAGTACATATTATCTGATCTCATTAAAAAGAAGTTCAAAGTCAGGCAAAACTGATCTTTGGCATAGGAAGACAGACCATTGAGGGGGCATATTTGGGTGCTAGTGATATTCTGTTTCTTGATCCGGGTGCTGGCTGTATGAGTGGTCACTTGGTGAAAATTCATCCAGCCATGTACACTTATAATTTGTTTGCTGTACTTCAAGTAAACAGTGGAAGAGAAAGAGAAGACAGACAGACAGACAAAAGTGCAGAGGTTTGCTCCAGAAGGATGCCTTTTGGGTTCATTCTTATATTTTCCATGGAGTTTGTAGTGTTGAATGCAACAGCCAAATTAAGGAAGCCAGAAGGCTGAAACTCCACAACCTATGGTGTTAGACAAGGCCCAGAAAGTGGTAGGATGTGTCCCGAATTCCTTTTCGCTGGGCTGCTGCACCTCCAGCTCCGGGTAGAGCCTGCTGGGGCTCCATCCTGCACTGGCGGGAGGGTGTGTGGCCGGTGGCCAGGCACAGAGCAATTACTGAGTGTCAGGCTCTGGGCCTGGCACTCTGTGTCCCCTGGGTAGCCCAGGCTCTCTCTTTTATGCCCTTTGGGACTTGATTTGGAAAGCGTCTTCTCCCTGGAACCCCATCTAAAATTTCTCCCTCCCTTCGTTTCTGTAACATTTCACTTCCCCCTCCCAGCTTTGCTCCTTGTCGCATCTCAGCTAACTTCCTACCTCTTTCACTTAGTTTTCCTGTTGTTCATCCCTCATTGCAATGCCAACCTCATGAAAGGCAGGGAGTTTTGTTGGTCTTGTCCACTATTGTCTCCCCAGTGCCTGTCAAAAGTAGATACTCAATAATAATGCTTGGAAAGAATGAACACACTATGTTTGGCCCCTTTCATAGATGAAGAAACAGGCCCATGAGGTTAGGCAATGTGCTCAATTAAGGTCACACAGCTAGGGATGGAGAGCCAGGATTCAGACCCTGCTGTTTTATTCTTTGCTGCTGTCATAGAGCCTCACAGACTCATTTCATCCTCACATGCCTGTGAAGGTGTATGACCCCTTTATACAGCTGAGGAAACTAAGGCTGGAGTTGAGTGATTGCCCAAAGGAAGCAGAGAAGCTTGCAGACCTCCTGTCTGGCTGTGATGGTCCTGCTCTTCATACTGTACCATGCCCCGTGAGGAGTCGGCGGCCATGCTCCATACCAGCACGGCTCTCTACCGAGCTCCCAGGGCTGGCCTTTGTGTGACATGATTCCCCTGCTCCTGCCGCCAGGACTCAGCCCACCAAGTCTCCTGGAAGCAAATCCCTGCCCTTTTGTGCTCTGGTTTCCATAACTCAGTCCTCTTCTTGTCCTCCCCACCCCTCACTGCATCCTGGCCTTAGACTCACAATGGCTCACTCAGAAAGTATTTAATGATTTACTCTGCGTTTGGCACCATGCTAGGTGCTGCAGACACCAGTGAGCAAAACCAGGCATGTGTCCTGCCGGTAACGTTTATTAACTCAGAGACTAATTGAACAAATAAATAGGTGTACAAACTGTTATGTTCTTATAAAGTCAAAGGACATTGTGCGGTGAGAGGCTATACCTGGGAATCTGGCCTGGTCTGGGGGTCACATGGAAGGCTCTCTTTAGGATGTGATATGTGAAGGACACCTGCGTATTTGCCAAGCAAAGGGTGCGGGGGGTGGAGGAAAACGCTTCCGAGCAAAGGGTTGGTGGGGAGGCCCTCAGGTGGAAAGCAGCAGGGGTTGTTTGAAGTTCTGTAAGGGGCCCTTCTGCGTAGGGCCAAGGAGCAGTGAGTCCAGGCTGGAGAGCTTAGAAGGGGCCGGGTCATGCAGGGCCCTAACAACCAGCCGCACCTGAAGGACAATGAGAAGCCACTGGAGGATTTGATCACGTTTGTGGTTTCTAAAGGTCATTCTAGCTGCTTTGTAAAGTACATATTGGAGAAGAGCAAGATTATATGCAGGGAAATGTCAACTCATAAATGTTGATGGAGCAGTTGAATTAGAACACCACGTTTTGTAACCACCGTAGTATTGGGTTGGCCAAAAAGTTTTAGTTTTTTTCGTACAATGGCTCTAATAGTGCTTAGTTGTTTTTAACTTCATTCAAAACAGTTTTGTTAGATTGTATCATGAGAGCATGCATTTTTTAAAAAA